TTAATCGTTTTATGCTAGTTTGGTATGATGGTACGCTAACTCAGTTTTGTGTGTGTGATGTCAGTAGAGCTAAATTTTATAACTTGTAAATGTAAACATCTGCCCTGCCTCCTTTTAAATTGTGTTTGTTATCTTTTGATAAGCTCAGAATACTAATTTTTATAGATTATATGTTGCATCTTATCAAGATCTGTCATCAGCAGGGAGAATAGAATGTCAGATGGGACCTTATGAGTCAGTGTAGCAATCTGGGATTGTAAAGCCTCCTCCAGAAACGAGTCATCCGTTTCCAAAGGTACTTCAGTGCCTTGAGTGTGAACCTGGCGCTTGTACTTGCCCAGATTGAATGTCAAGAACTTGAGCCAAAGTCTGTTGGGGGAAAAATAAACATCTTACCAGGAACATTTTAGCCATCCGCTTGTTTTGGCAGTGTCAAACTATGTCAGGTTCCAGATAAACATGTACTTGAATCACATTCAAATCTTTAGAATTAGAAAAGACCTTAGATGGAGGATGGGTAGGGTAGTATGTTATATATTAGGATTTCAGGTGAATGGGATGTGAATGTGCATCAGGCAGGGTAGACTGAATTTGAACACACACACACATGCAAACACACACACACACACACACACACACACACACACACATGCAGAATAATCTCTTGCTTTAAAAACTACTCAAAGTAAAATAATTTCATGTCAGAAAGTAAAGCTTGCCCATACTGTGCTCTAACAGTGAGCATTTATTTTGTGCCAGGCACTGTTAAACTAAAGGTTTTACGTGTCTTAATTTACCTTGTCATTACAACCATTCTATGAGGTATGTACACTTACCATTATTTCATCTCCTTCTCCCTTTAATATCTCTGTAATCAAGAAGACTCTTTAAAACTTTGATTGCATGTCAAAGTTTAATTGGTAACTTTTTTTTTCTTACTATGAAAAAATAATGATGTGTCTTAGACTCACTGAATTAGAGAGTTATTTACATTTTTAAGATGAAGCCAGAGAGGTTAAGTAAATTGCCCAAGAATACACAACTAGTTGATGACTGAGCTAAGAATTAGGACCAGTTAGTCAGCCTCATGCCATTGTGTTGTAGGCTGCCTTTCTCAGAGCTTGGTGCGTGGGTGTATGGAGGATGAAGTAAAAGTGCTTCTAGGGGCTACAGGCTAAACAATTTAGAATACTAATTTACTGTGAGCAAAGCGGTTTCCTATTGTAGATAATTTTCTAGGAGGTGTATGTGCAAAACTTCAAAAAGCTTTTGTTACCTGTGTTTTTTCTTTATTCTTCCTAAGCTCCAAACTTAAGTGTAAGCACACTTTTCCTTTTCGTGCCTGCACAGGTAGGTGCTTTTCCCTGCTGCAGTATACACCCTTCCTTTGAAGGAAAGTGCAGATTTTCCTTCCAGGTGTGTCACCTCTATAGTAGGAATTAGGAATTCATTTCTGCTACAGAAGCTTGTACCTATTTATCATGTTGTGTTGTAATAACCTCTGTCGACTTCTCCAACACAAGCTGTGAGCCTCTAAGGGATCTTTCCCATCCTTGGCTAAATAGATCTTCAAAGTTTAGTTCTGTCTATTTTATTCTCTTGCATTTGGTCCTGTTGTGGTTTTAAGTGACTTTCAGGTTGTAATCTCAATTTTAGAAAGTAGAGGATTTTTTTGCATTATTAATTCTTTGTAATATATTAGAATGACATTTTAAAATACTTTCATAAATATCTATGTGTATGAATTTTGTCAATCCCTTACATTCTTGAATCACAAAATGCCCATTGTTAGTGTGATTACAGATTGAAAGTATGGTTTTTGACAAGAGACCGGTATCTGTACCCTTAAGGATAAGCCCATTGTAGATAATTGTAAATATTTTAAATTGGTAACATTAGCTTACTTCAGATGTCTTAACTTTTTGGAATTTGAACTTCTTACCATCACTAGAAAGATGAAATGCCAATGTTAAATATCCTCCTGCCTCTACTCTCAAATATTAAGATTAGTGTTGCCCAGATTTCTAAAGAGAAGGTTAAGCGATGTTTTTCAGCATGGAATAAAAGATAATTTACTGAATCTTAGATAAATTATTCTACAGAATGCATTGTATGGAAGCTTTATGATCTGGTGTTTTCATGGTTGGTAGTAGGAAACACAGTTTTAGGAGGGTGACCCAGTGTAAAGGCAGGAAATGTCCACTGGTATTTTGTTCAGATAAAAAAGTAAGTTGTAATTTATGAAGAACATCAGATGTTTTCTTTAGTTGTTGCATTTGGTTTTCAGTTTGCTGGTTTGCTTTTATTTTGTTTGCTCTTATGTTTCTATTAGTGAAAAAAAAAATCATGCATAAAAGTCTAAGACTACAGGTTGACCAGTTTAGAATGATTGTACTAAAACTAGCAGAATAAGAAAGAAAATAGCCAAGCCATTCATCTAGATAATCTGAGTGTGCAAGACAGCTTTGGGGGATTGCTTTTTAAAAAAACTATGTTCCCAGCTTGATTTGTCTGAGCACTTGGCAAGACTTGTATTTGAAAAATAAGAAGTGGGTTTCTTTCATTTTTGATATAGTTGAAAAAGGATACTTATATACAATGAGCATAATAAAACTGTAGTACATTATCTTAATTTAACAACTAAATGTTTAGTGATTTGACCTGAAAAATATTTGTTTCCTAAGAAATGAGAACATGTGTTAGAGTATGATTTTAGAGAATTCTTTAAATCATGTTAATTTATTTTTAATTAGATTACTCTGGTCCCCATTGCTTTTATCTTTATTTTTCTAACAAATGTGAAAAGACTGCTCTTGCCTTTCCCTTGACTAGTTAGAAGCTCTGCTCGAACACTTCTTTAGATTATCTCAATTAAAATAACTGATGTAGCTTCTGTCTTCCAACTAGACCCAAACTGATACGACACAGACACTGACAACTTCAGATGAAGGTCTTGTGAAACAAAAACTTTGCATTCTGAAATAATTAAGCACAGTCATCACCTTCTCTAGCAAATGTAAGAGATTTTTCCCTTGAGGGACCATTTGTCTCTAAAACACTGTTAGTAGAGCCTGGTTATTGATCTCTTCAAATCCTTTTTGCTGTAGGATTTTTCTAAAAAGTGTTCAGCACATTAGACCTGTCTTTTTCTACTCTGACCTGGGAAACAAGATACCAAGAAGAAAAAGAACTATGAGCTTCAAGCACTTTTTCTGATGAAGACTGATTATTTTAAGATATTGGCATAACCCTTCCATCTCCACAAAACTATGTTGCAAGCACAAGCAAATGCATTACAGTAGCATAATCCCAGACACTAAAGGTTGATCAAAGACTGTTTCTTTTAGGATTTTATTAAAAAACAAACATTTCCAAGAGGGAAGACAGGAAACCCCTAGGTACTTCTTTTTGAAACTCGTATTTGTTTAAAAAATAGATGTTACTAACTTACACATTGGTTATATTGATAAAGCTAAAGATAGAAATACAATAAATATGGACTTTTCCTATGATTTGAAATTTTACTAGCTTTTAAATAGAATTTTGCTATAGGATCATTATAAAAAAAAGCTATAGGGCACCAGGCGTGGTGGCACACGCCTTTAATCCCAGCACTGGGGAGGCAGAGGCAGGCGGATCCTCTGTGAGTTGGAGGCCAGCCTGGTCTACAGAGTGAGTTCCAGGCAGCTGGAGCTACAGGGAGACCCTGTCTCAGACCAAAAAACAAAAACAACAAAACAACAACAACAAAAAAAATGCTATAGGCGTGCAGTTTTTAGGAAAATAACTTGTGTGTTTCTGCAATCCTTTCTTTGTGCATCTTTGGTAATTTATGTGGCTTAATTTTGTTGTTTAGAACTAGAATTATTTTTTAATAACTAGAAAGAATTAAAACTATATTTAGAGATAACTTATTAAAAATCTTTGGAAGTAAAAAAAAAAAAAAAAAACTTTTCTTAGGGTACATTTATAAGAATTTAATCATTGGTGTCCTGAATTCCTTGTACAATTTTTTACCAGCCAACCAGTGCCGTATTTTGAATTTTCGTTCTTGTTTTTTGGGGGAGTTGTGACACTGAAGCCATAGCACTTTCATGTTGACCCATATTTCTCTTGCATTTTTATTCCCTTTTGTCTGTTTGGCCAGATAAGTGAATAACTGAATTGAGAAAAGTGGGATGAGGATGGGGTATAGCTCAGTGGTAGAATGCTTTCATGCATGAAGGGAGCCCTGGGTTACATCCCCAGCACCCCAACAACCAATGACTTTGAGTCCTCCCTTTCCTTACCCTGAATGGCTCAGTACCAGTTTTTGTTCAGGATTCCTCTTGCCAGACCTCTTAGCTTGACCTGAAGTAATTATAAAACAATTTAGCTTGCTGTTAACTGTTAAAAAGGAACTAGAGATTAAACTTTTGTTTACAAAAAATTCAACTTTTGTTACAACTCCACAGTTAATGTCAACATCTCTGTTTTCTTCCTTTTATCCTATTTATTCAGACAGTAAAATAAAAGGATGTGGAGTAGCTCTCCAATTTACATGGGACCAGAGGCCTTTCTAGTTAGGCACCTTTAGAACTAGATTTCTAGATATGTTAATGCGTATATTCCTAGATGTGTACAGATAATTGAAAAAGAAGTCATTTTTCAAGTCTTCTCTTTTAGCCTTTAAACTTTTGTTTTTCTTATTCAGAAATAGAGGTGATAAAAAAAAAGTCATAAAGGCTGGTTTCAGAGTGAGATGATGTCTCAGGAAAGAAAGTGGTAGAAGGAACAGCCAAAACGGTGGCACAGCCTTTAGGAGTTCGTCTCTTATGGGAGAAGTATGAACCCTAAGTGGCTGTTATCTAGAGTGCAAATGTATTGCTATTTACCATGCTTCTCATGAATGGTATATATCCATCTGGAAGACATAGAGAAACCTAGAAAATTGTACTCTAATCTTAGGGAATGACTAAATGAACTGATGTTTACAACACTGTGGTGTTTTACTGTTACAGGCAATGATTCATGTGAATACCTTCTCTCAAGTGGCAGATTTCTTGGAGAAAAAGTTTGGCAACCTCATAGTTGTATGATGCACAAATATAAAATAAGGTAAAATTTCTTCACTTTGCTAACTTTTTTTTTTCCTAGCATGGGTTATAGAATCTAGTGGAGAGGCTCTGGTGAAGTAGATTACAGGGTAACAGTATTCTTCTTGCGGGGGGTGGGGGTGGGGGTTCCTGAGGGAAGGCAGGACTGAGGCTGATTCAAAGTGAAGATTTCTGCTTTAAAGCTTTAGAGGAAGGCTCTGGCCAAGGGTCTTTATCTCAGGTAAAAGATAACAAGGGCAAGGAGGAACCCCCTGAATACCACTTGCTCTATAACTTGGATTCCTGCCTTGTGGAGTTGTCTGAAATAATGGATGTAAAAGTCTTCATACGTTTAGGGTACTTCTTGAACTTTTAATTCTTGGGACTGTTGGTTTTGAACATTTCTTGGTAATAAGAACACGGGCTAGCAAGTTAAACAGACCTGGGCCATCTACTTCTAAAACACCATGATTGTCTGCAGAGCAGTCTTGTATGTTTTTTTTTGTTTTGTTTTAGTTTATTTTCTATAAGCCATGTGCTTTCAATTCCAATATGTTGATTTTACTTATTTTAATTAATGTTTATTAATTTCAGTGAAGCAAAGAACTGCCTTGTAGATAAATATATTGCATTTATTGGAGATTCCAGAATCCGTCAACTATTTTATTCTTTTGTAAAAATAATTAATCCCCAGTTCAAAGAAGAAGGAAATAAGGTAAAGTTGGTTTGTTCCTTTCTCCTGGGTATTGTTTTAGAGTTAACAAATTGGACGTGCTGAGTAGTGGTTGAAAAGATAAAAGTTCTACTTAGATTTTAGGAAAATTTAGGGGAAAAGAGGAATTGTTTGTTATAATAGAAAACATAAGAAAAAGTCATGAAAGGTGAGATATTGTCAAAGTTTTATTAGCTTAATTTTCAGGAATAAGTTCTCATGGAAAATTTATTTAAAAACCTGACAAGAAGACAAGGAGAAAATATCCCTATTCTCCTGTCAGAATCCAACAAATTTCTTTTTATTCTTTAGTTCAAATTTCTAAGTGTTCTTTAAAAATATACTTCTAATCTTTCAGCATGTTCAATTTTATATCTTTCTTTTCCACACCACTTATCATAATCTACCATATTACATATAATCTGCTTAAGTATCTTCTTACTGGTAATGTATTATTGAGTGGATAAAATGTAATTTCATACAATCTTCCTTTTTTTTTTAGTTTTTCTAGTTTTCTTAATTTTTTAAATAAAAAAGACATTTCCACTTATTTCTTTATATAAAAACTTTACTTTTTAAATTCATGGGGTAGAATTTGTACAATGCATTATTTGTCTTTGAAATCCAACAGAGATTGATATTTTTATACATGTTAACTGGTTAATTTTGGGAGAGTGACCTATCTCATTACATCCTTCTGATAATACATCTTAAAATGATACAGCTTCTGATCCCTGTCTTCAAGCATCATGTGACTAGAAAGAGGGAATGGCAGGGGTGGAAAGAGGCAAACATGAGAGGGAGGAGTAGCTCATGAGTTCACAGTGGAAATCTGCCTCTACATGTGGGCTGACATTGTAAAAGAGCTAAAACATGGCAGGCTTCAGAGCTGAGTAGCTACTCCATTGTGATGATGATGGTCTGTCCTGCATCCTCAGGAGCTGCTCTTATAAGAATAGTGCCCCCCCCCAAAAAAAATAGTGGCAAAAATAAACTTAGCTGTTCAGTGTATTTAGCATCTGTAAATATATATTCCATTAGGATTTATATACGCAAAATTATACAGGAAAATTAGAACAATTTAATGACATGAAATTATCACAATGTAAAGTAAAAACCTTTGGTAAACTTAAAAAGTAAAGAGATTCTGATTTCAAATAAGCAGTTTTAATATTTATAGGCTTATAATACTTTCTGAAACTTAGTATAATGAATTTAACAATTGTTAGTTGAAAAGCCATAATGACTTAGTATTTACTATATACTTTATGAAGATCTACGTAGTCAATATGAAATGATATTCTGAGTCCTAATTTTAATACTTGGGTTTGCAGCTTTTTTCTAGGGATGCTCAGTTATCCCAAAATTATCAAACAAATTACATTTTAGCATATACATTTTTAAAAAGAAACAAGAAAATATAGTGTCAAGCATTTGGCAGATTATTTTATATTTTCTCTTATTCTTGCACAATTTGAAAGCTGAGATTGCCTATCATATTTTTGTTGTTTAGAGACGGTCTTGCTGGGTAGCCTTCCTGCCCTTGTACCTGCTCTCTAGACTACGTAGCTGGCATTAAACTGTGCCAGTCCTACATTACCCACCCAAGTTTTTATTTTTTTATTATTTTTAATTTAAAAAAATTTTTAATAATATATTTCTTGCCTACTGCAGTCTGGTATACATACCACATGCACCCATGTGTACACACACATACACATACACACACACACACACACACACACGCACACAGCCTTGGTGTGGGTATGTTTAGG